ATATTCTAATATTATTCACAGTAAATTTATTCATGTGTTTGGACAAACCGTCACAGTTGTATACGCCCAAACAAGCTCCCACTCTCTTTAGCAACACCGCATGAGTGCAGCCGCAAAAGTGTCAACTGTCAGTGTCAGCACCCGATAAGTAGTTATTGGGATTTTCCAAAATCTATTTCAAATGAACCGGTAGATTTGAACCATTCGTCGATATTCGAGCCCCTTGAAGTGCCAGCACACGATGGGGCAGCACGTTTCCCGAACCGACTTTGAATGGGTTTACACCGAAGAGCCTCACGCAAGCCGCAGGAAAATCATTCTAGGTTAGAACCCTATCAGCACGTACACAAATCAAACAAGGGTTTTAGAGGATTTGTGAGGATTATCCAGATTGATTGATCGGGGTAACTGATTCGAGTGCCTGCTGAGCTTTGATCAATCCTGGGCAAATTCCCGACAATTTCGCCCTTCGCGTTGAATGACTGTAGTGATTCAATGTTTATTTTTAAAATTAGCCACTCCTGAACAGTTTTAGTGAGAAACGGTACTTGATAACGTACTAGGAATAGTAATGGAATCAAGGCTGCCAGGAATAGGTAGTTTTACGTGGCTGTTTTTGCTTCAGAGAAATATCCGCAAATCAAGAGGCTCTTTGGGTTCGACCCCAACTTCAAATGGGTGGTAACGGGGATGGTGCTCACTCAATTCTTCCTGATGTTTGTGCTGAGGAACCGGTCCTGGCCTGTCCTGCTTCTAGTCGCCTACTGCTTAGGGGGAGTCATCAACCACTCCTTAATGTTAGGTGAGTAGAACCAGGGCCTAGTTATATGTTGAGCCTGCTCAATGTTGCAAATTTTCCTTTTCCAGCCATTCATGAAATATCGCATAACTTGGCGTTTGGATACGCTCGGCCGCTGCACAACAGGCTCTTTGGCTTCTTCGCCAATTTGCCCATCGGAATTCCAATTTCCATTAGTTTTAAGAAATATCACCTGGAGCATCACAGAGTGAGTCCATTGCCTTAAACCGCCGTGGACGTTGCGCTTCATTGAAGCCTTTTTCCAGTATCAAGGCGATGAACTGAAGGACACGGACATCCCCACCTACCTGGAGGCCAAACTGTTCTGCACCACGTTTGGCAAGTTCATTTGGGTCATTTTGCAGCCGTTTTTCTACTCGTTCAGGCCCCTGGTCACCTACCCCAAGCCGCCCACTAATTTGGAGTTTATCAACTTGGGCATACAACTGGCCTTTGATGCCATTGTGGTGTGGTTGTTTGGTAGGTTTTGCAGGTTTCTATCTGCATAATTTGGGCTAATTGTTGCGCCGGTTTCAGGCTGGAGGATCTTGGGGTATTTGGTGTTTGGAAGCGTGATGGCCATGGGCTTGCATCCCGTGGCGGGACACTTTATCTCGGAGCACTACATGTTCAAGAAAGGGTACGAGACCTACAGCTACTACGGCCCTTTGAACTTCATCACGTTCAACGTGGGCTACCACAACGAGCATCATGATTTTCCAGCCGTCCCTGGGTCGCGGTTGCCCGAGGTGAGCCCGAAAATTGTGGTTTAGGTTGCTTAATGTTGCACTACTCCTAGCAGTGGGTATGTGGCTTAGTGGTTGGTTTCTCTGTTTGCCTAACGTCTCCCCTGCGCCGAGTCCTTTTTGTATTAAATGTCGTTCCCGGTATGTGCTAACGCTTTAGTAGACTTGGCAAGCGCCCGCTTAAAGCCGAAAACGGCGGTGGTAGTGATTAGTTGCATGCTGGTGGAGAGCAGCGCCCTCAGACTGAGTCTGTTGGCTTCAGGTGAAAAAAATCGCCCCCGAGTTCTACGACGATTTGCCGCAACACCAGAGCTGGACTCAGGTGCTTTACGACTTCATCATGGATCCCGATGTCGGCCCCTACGCCCGAATCAAGCGGAAGAAGCGCGGCCTGAACTAAATCCGTTTTTGCCGCTTTAATCCGGGATTTTGCGCGTATCTAGAGCCACCCGGAGCTGCGGAGTCGCAGTTGATTGTTGATTATTGTATATAGCATACGATTGGACTAAATTATCCTGTAGGTTCATGTGATTAAAATGTGTATTTTTTCTATGCAAACAGCGAGTTTCTGTTTTGTTTCCTACATACTGCGTTGATTTGCAGAACGAGTTCACGTCTTCTGAGGCCAATTACTGGCTCAATGACTGCTTGAAACGGGCCATTAATTATCCGAAGTAATCGATTTATTAATTATGGGATCGCGCCTTGAATGCGGATGATGAAATGTGTAACTGTTCGGTGTGAGAGGTTTAACGGGTTCGGGTCTACAGGCAAAGACGAGTGCGATTTGCTGAAATGCGTGCTTTTTGGTCCGCCGGCTTTCGGCGCGTTTAGGCCGAATTGGGCTCATTTCAATAAATGAGTCGGCCTATGCTTAGAAAGTGCACGGTTGAGCGCACAGGCAAAAAATGACGAAGAGCGCAAAACAAGCACCATTTTCCTACAGGCTGGCACCATGCGGGTACTCGCCTCGGCAATGGCTAAAGCATGTGTCCCATGCATCCGTTTATACGATGGTACGGTGATGCGAAAGTGTTTCTATTGGTTGGAGATCTGTCAATTCGTCCGTCGTCGTACGACAAAATTTTGAAAATTTGTCAAAAATTGTCCGATGATGAAGCAAAATCGAGACGCTGTCCACTTATAGAACAAACATTCCCCCACAGAATATAAAAAGTGACTCTCTAACTTCTCCAGTTTTCGAGGAAATAAATGCCAAACTCCGGCTTGCAAAA